CCCAAAAGTGGGTTTACTGGGTGAAATGAGAGTTCCATTTTTAACTTTTTGAGGAAATGCCATACTATTCTCCATAGTGGCTGCACCAGGCTGCATTCCCACCAGCACGGCAAGAGGGTTCCTTTTTCTCCACATCCTCACCAGCACTTGTCATTTGTTGATTTGTTGATGATAGTCATTATGACAGGTGTGAGATAGTACCTCTTTTGTTGTTTTGATTTTAATATCTTGGATGATTAGTGACTTTGAGCATGTTTTTGTGTCTCTCAGCCTTCTGTGTGTCCTCTTTTGAGAAGTGTCTAATTAGGTCCTTTGCCCATTTTTTTATTGGATTGTTGTTGTTTTTTTTATTTTTATTTTTATTTTTATTTTTATTTTATTTTTAATTAAATTTTTATTGTTCAGATTAAAACTTGAAAATGGGCAAAGTACTTAGAATAGACATTCCTCCAGAGAAGATGTACAGATTGCCAATAAGAACATGAGATGTTCAACATCACTACTCATTAGGGAAAAGCAAATTAAAAAACAAACAAACACAAAAATAGCAAAAGTTGGTAAGGATGTGGAGAAATTGGAACCCTGTGCATTATCACTGGGATATAAAACAGTGTATCTGCTGTGGAAAACAGTATAGAGATTTCTCAAAAAGTTAAACATAGAATTACTAAATGACCCAGCAATCCCCCTTCTAGGTATATACCCAAAGTAATTGAAAACAAACTCTAACAGATATTTGTACACCAATGCTCATAGCAGCCTTATTCACAAAATCCAAAAGGTGGAAACAACCCAAATGTCCATTGGATTAACGGGTAAGCAACATGTATATCCATACAATGAATATTATTCATTATTAAAAAGGAATAATATTCTGACACATGCTACAACATTGATGAACCTCGAAAGAATTATGCTAAATGAAATAAGCCAGACACAAAAGGACAGATATTGTATAATCCCAACTTATATGTGCATACAGAGCAGGCAAACCCACAGAGACAGAAAGAAGAAGTGAAGCTGAGGGAAGGGGAATAGGGAATTATTGTGTAATGGGTATAGAGTTTTAGTTTGGGGTTGTGAAAAAGTTCTGGAAGTTGGAAGTGATTCACAACATTGTCAATGTGCTTAATGCTACTTCAATTATATACTTAAAATAATGAAATGGTAAATTTAATGTTTCACATCTATTACCTCCGTAAAATTATTTAAGAAAACACTAGGAAAGAATACAATTGGGAATGGAATCCTATATAATAAAAGGGTAATATGCAAATTGACCCTAACAGCAGAACGACTGGGAATAACTGGTCACTATGACACACACTGACCACCAGGGCCAGACGCTCAATGCAGGAGCTGCCCCCTGGTCGGCAGTGCGCTCCTACAGGGGGAGCTCTGCTCAGCCACAAGCCAGGCTGATGGCTGCCAGTACAGTGGTGGTGGTGGGAGCCTCTCCTGCCTCCTCAGCAGCGTTAAGGATGTCTGACTGCAGCTTAGGCCTGTTCCCCACTGGCAAGTGGATATCCCCCGAGGGCTGCCAGGCTGCCAGAGGGATGTCTGACTGCCAGCTTAGGCCCAATCCCCCAGGGAGCGGGCCTAAGCCAGCAGGTGGACATCCCCTGAGGGGGTCCCAGACTGCGAGAGGGCACAGGCCAGGCTGAGGCAACCCCCCCCCCCAAGTGCACAAATTTTTGTGCACGAGGCCTCTAGTTAAGTATAAAATAGAGAAAATGTAAGTGCTCAGGTTTCTTATTAAATTAATTGGAGTGATGTAGATTAATAAAATTATATAGCTTTCAAGTGTATAATTCTATAATACATCATCTTTATCTTGCATGGTGTACCTATCACCCAAAGCCCAGTCTTCTTTCACCCCCATATATCGAACCCACTTTACTGCCCTCCTATTTCCCTTTTTTCTGGTAAACACCATACTGGTGTCTATGTCTATGAGTTTCTGTTTATATATTTATCTTGTTTGCTCACTTGTTGCTTTCAATTTTATATTTCACATATGAGTGAAATCATGTTCTTAACATTTTCTGATTTATTTCCCTTAGCATGATATTCTCAAGATTTCTCTCTCTCTCTCTCAAATGAATAAATAAAAATTGTAAAAAATCCATCCATATTGTCACAGATGCCAGTATTTTATCTTTTCTTATAGCTGAGTAGTATTCCATTATATGTATATATATTTTTTAAATATTTTATTTACTAGAAAATAAAATGTATCTAGACTAGTGCTTTTTTTCTTTCTTCTTGTCTCCAGATTTGAAGCTCTGTTTAATGATCTGAAAGAGAAAAAGAGTGAGCTGGGCATTACCAGCTTTGATGCTTCAGTTACTACCATGGGAGAAGTCTTTCATAAGTGAGTAATAATGACCTTAAAAAATTTTCCACCACTAAAATTATACACCATTTTGAAGGCAAACCTCACCCTATTTGCATTGCAATAAATTAATTACAGTTATGGATTTTTAAAAATATGTTAATATTTATGCTAATGTAGTTCTGTATTTTCAGCTATGAATGTGTAAAGATTTTGAACTTGCGCCTTGATGCATATGTCTTACTCTGTTAGTCAAGAAAAAAAACAAAACAATTAATATTGATGTTATCATAGGAAAAGTTAGAATTGTAATTGGAGTCTGAACTAGAAATGACTTTAAAATTTTGACCTAACCATGTTTCCATAATTAATTTAATTTGTACATTATTTTATTTTATTAACAGTGTTACAGATGTCCCTCAGTTTCTCCCCCGTTACCACCCTCTTCCCAGCACCTAGCCAACTCCAGCCTTCACCATCCTCTGTGTCCGTGGGTGATGCATATATGCATACACGTTCTTTGGTTAATATGGTTCTTTGGTTAGTCTCTTTCCGTCTCACCTCATTCCCTCTAAAATTAGACAGTCTGTTCTGTGTTTCCATGTCTCTGGACCTATTTTGTTCATCAGTTTCTTATGATAATTAGATTCCACTTATAAGTGAGATCATATGATATTTATTTGTCTTTCTCTAACCGGCTTATTTCACTCAGTATAATACTCTCCAGATTCCTCCATGTTGTCTCAACAGATAAGAAATAGTTATTTTTTACAACTGCGTAGTATTCCATGGTGTAAATGAACCACCACTCATCTACTGATGGGTCCCTGGGCTGTTTCCAGATCTTAGCTATTGTAAACAACACTGCTATGAATATTTGTATCCTGCTACATTGCTGAATACATTTATTAGGTCTAGTCGTTTTTTATGGAGTTTGTGGGTTTTTCTATGTACAGTATCATGTCATCTGCAAATAAGGACAGTTTTCCTTCTTCTTTTCCAATTTTGAGTCCTTTTATTATTTCTTGTTCTCTGATTCCTGTGGCTAGTACTTCTAGTACTATATCAAACAGGTATAGTGAAAGTGGGCACCCCTATCTTGATCCCGATCTTAGTGGAAATCAGTTTAGTTTTTGCCCATTGAGTATGATGTTGGCTATAGGTTTGTCATATATGACTTTTATTATGTTGATATATGATCCCTCTCTTCCCACTTTGCTGAGAGTTTTTATCAAGAAAGTGTGTTGGATTTTGTCAAATGCTTTTTCTGCATCATTTGATATGTGATTTTTGTCTCCCAATTTGTTTATGTGATGGGAAAGAATATAAACACCCCTATGTTTATAGCAGCTTTATTTACAGTGGCTAAGATTTAAATAGCCAAACTGCCCATTAGTGGATGAATGGGTAGTTCATTTTTTATGTTTTGAGGAAACTCCATACTGTTTTCCATAATGGCTGCACCAGTCTACATTCCCACCAGCAGTGAACTAGTGTCCCTTTTCTCAACATCCTCTCCAACACTTTTTGTTTGTTGATTTATTGATGGTAGCCATTCTGGAAAGTGTGAAGTGAGGGAAGGGTATTTCACTTAGCATAATGCTCTCTAGGTCCCTCCATGCTGTTGCAAGGATAAGAGGTCCTTATTTTTTACTGCTGCATAGTATTGTTCTTCTTTGAATGCTTGGTAGAACTCCCCAGTTTACCCAGTCGGACCAGAGCTTTTGTTTGCTGGAAGATTTGATCGTTGCTTCAATATCTTCAATTTCTTACGCACTTGGGCTGTTTCCAGATCTTAGCTTCTGTAAATTGTGCTGCTACAAAAATAACGGTGCATACATTCTTTCTGATGGGTGTTTCGAGTTTCTTAGGCTATATTCATGAAAGTAGGATTGCTGGGTCAAATGGCAGTTCCATATTTAATTTCTTAAGGGAAGTCCACAATGTTTTCTATAATGGCTGCACCAGTCTGCATTCCTACCAGAAGTGCACTAGGGCTACTTTTTCTCCACATCCTCGCCAGCACTTGTTGTTTGTTGCTTTATTGATGGTAGCCATCTGGCAGGTGTAAGATCACTTTGTTGTAGTTTTTAATGTGCATCTCTCTCTGATGATTAGTGACACTGAGCATTTTTTTTTCATATGTCTGTTGGCCATCTGTATGTTCTCTTTGGAGAAGTATCTATACCGATTCTTTCCACATTTTTTTTAAAAAGTTTATTTTTATTCCTTATTGTCTTAAGTTTTACATCTAGTGAGTCATTTAGGATTGATGTTTCTTTTTGATTTTTTGTTTAGAAGATTTACCCAGTGTTGTTAGTGGGAGCCATCTGTATGTTCTCTTTGGAGAAGTATCTATACCGATTCTTTCCACATTTTTTTTAAAAAGTTTATTTTTATTCCTTATTGTCTTAAGTTTTACATATGCCTCCTTTTTTCCTCAATTGACACCCCCCCCCAACCTATTATGAAGTGGCCTTCCTTACCTTTTGTTATGGACTTCACTTTGAGGTATAATTTGTCAGATATAAGTATTGCTACCCCAGCATTTTTTTCATTTCCATTAGCCTGAAAACCCTTTCCCATATGTCAGATATACTGGTAAGTATTGCTACCCCAACTTTTTTTTTTATTTCCATTTGTCTGAAAAAAAATTTCCATCCCTTCATTATCAGTCTATGTGAGTCCTTTTTTCGGATGTGGGTCTCTTGTAGACAGCAGATTATATGGGTTATGTTTTCTTATCCATTCAGCTATCCTAGGTCTTTTGATTGGGCATTTAATACATTTACATTTAAAGTTATTATTGATAGATACTTCTTTGTAACCATTTTTTTTACTTTATTTTTTTATTAAATCTTTATTGTTCAGATTATTACATTAGTTACTCTTTTTTCCCAACATAACTCCCCTCCACCCAGTTCTCACCCCACCCTCCACCCTCACTCCCCACCCACTGTCCTCATCCATAGGTGCATGATTTTTGTCCAGTCTCTTCCCGAACCTCCCACACCCCTTTTCCCCCACAAGAATAGTCAGTCCATTTCCTTTCTATGTCCTTGATTCTATTATGATCACCAGATTATTTATTCACTTGATTCTTAGATTCACTTGTTGATAGATGCATGTTTGTTGTTCATAATTTGTATCTTTACCTTTTACTTCTTCTTCCTCTTCTTAAAGAATACCTTTCAGCATTTCATATAATACTGGTTTGGTGGTGATGAACTCCTTTAGCTTTTTCTTATCTGTGAAGCTCTTTATCTGACCTTCAATTCTGAATGATAGCTTTGCTGGATAAAGTAATCTTGGTTGTAGGTTCTTGGCATTCATCACTTTGAATATTTCTTGCCACTCCCTTCTGGCCTGCAAAGTGTCTGTTGAGAAATCAGCTGATAGTCGTATGGGTATTCCCTTGTAGGTAACTGAGTTTCTTTCTCTTGCTGCTTTTAAGATTCTCTCTTTGTCTTTTGCTCTTGGCATTTTAATGATGATGTGTCTTGGTGTGGTCCTCTTTGGATTCCT